AGGTTAATAAATTTAAGCTATATTAAAGCACACCGGTTACTATGTGTTGTTAGGGTGAAACTAATTAAAGGATTAGCTTTTATCAGAGATTTGCATTTTTCTACTGTGTGGATAAATAAGGGTAGATTAGGATATTCATTGCGCGGGCGTTGCGGGTTATCCGTGCGGGAAGAGAGAAAGCGATTTAGACAAGACAGGAGCGCTTTGCAGCCAAAAGTTGAAAGACTTTGTGTGGAATCTTGTAATGGTTGCCAAGTCGGTCATCCTAGTCAAAGACAACATGACTGCCTCATGATGAACGAAAACAAACGATGGGAAATAAGGAATATATTCGTCACAAAAATCATATTTAAAACACATTTTGGACATATCTTAAACTAAATAGTTCCTAATCCCGAGTTGTCAACGTTGTTGTCAAGGTCAATATTTACATGTTGTTCAACGTTATTTTAGCAAATATTCTACATACATATATACTGTTAAGATGACCGAGTCAGATCATAAGTAAGCTTATGAAGAATATAAGTTAGAATTGTTATGTGTTGCTCAGTCATTAGCGACGCTTGAGTGCATGCATATATTAACGTACAACATATTTGTACACTAATCAGGCGGGCGGAAAAGCGGGCTTTGCAGGGAAAAGTTTGCATAAGATTTCCGATTTTTTTTTTTTTGTTTTTTAATTCATTTATTGCTATCTTGAGTTATATAAACACGTGCACATGGAAGTTAAAGGTTATGATATATAATTGTCAAGCGATTTCTATATTTTAGTGCTAGGTTTTTAAACGAGAATTTCCTTTTTCGTCTTAAAATTTCTATCTCTACACTTGTTTCAGGGGTTTCGCTCTCAGATTCTTCATCATAGCTACTTTCATCATCGTGGTTGCTTTGATCTAAGATATTGATATCCCAAGATACTGATATCCTAAGATACCGATATCCTAAGATATTGATATCCTAAGATATTGATATCCTAAGATATTCATATCCTAAGATATTGATAACCTAAGATACTGATATCCTAAGATACGGATATCCTAAGAAAATGATAACCTAAGATACGGATATCCTAAGAAAATGATATCCTAAGAAAATGATATCCTAAAATCTTGATCAGCTCCTTAGGCTCGGAGCCAGCTCTTTAGGCTCGGAGCCGAGCTCTTTAGGCTCGGAGCCGAGCTCCTTAGGCTCGGAGCCAGCTCTTTAGGCTCGGAGCCAGCTCCTTAGGCTCGGAGCCAGTTGCATAGAAACACGGTTCTATGTATTGTTGCTTTCAGGAAGAGCTTCTGTGAAGCTTCTGTAAAGCTTCTGTAAAGCTTCTGTGAAGCTTCTGTGAAAGCTTCTGTAAAGCTTCTGTAAAGCTTCTGTGAAGCTTCTGTGAAGCTTCTGTAAAGCTTCTGTAAAGCTTCTGTGAAGCTTCTGTGAAGCTTCTGTGAAGCTTCTGTAAAGCTTCTGTATAGTCTTTCATAGTCAGGACTATAGTCTTTCATAGTTAGGACTATAGTCTTTCATAGTTAGGACTATAGTCTTTCATAGTCAGGACTATAGTCTTTCATAGTTAGGACTATAGTCTTTCATAGTCAGGACTATAGTCTTTCATAGTCAGGACTATAGTTTTTCATAGTTAGGACTATAGTCTTTCATAGTTAGGACTATAGTCTTTCATAGTTAGGACTATAGTCTTTCATAGTCAGGACTATAGTCTTTCATAGTCAGGACTATAGTCTTTCATAGTCAGGACTATAGTCTTTCATAGTCAGGACTATAGTCTTTCATAGTCAGGACTATAGTCTTTCATAGTCAGGACTATAGTCTTTCATAGTTATGACTATAGTCTTTCATAGTCAGGACTATAGTCTTTCATAGTCAGGACTATAGTCTTTCATAGTCTGGACTATAGTCTTTCATAGTCAGGACTATATAGTCTTTCATAGTCAGGACTATAGCCTTTCATAGTCAGGACTATAGTCTTTCATAGTCAGGACTATAGTCTTTCATAGTCAGGACTATAGTCTTTCATAAAGATAGGGATAATAAGATAAAGATAAGAAGATAAGAAGATAAGGATAAGGAAGATAAAGATAAGATAAGGAATAATCATTTATAGTCTTTTTTCCGGCGACATGTGGGTGTGATGTAGGGTCGATGTAGGGTCGATGTAGGGCTATAGGAGTATTGAAACCATGGCGAATGAACAATTAAGCCAAACGACTCTTATTACAAAAAACATTTAAATTGTTGTGCGTAATTTATATACAATCAAACACATTATGCTCTAAGAAGGAGACCACATTAACTTTGTAAACGTCTCGAAGAAATAAATGTATTTTAAGACTGAATTTTTGGGTAAACTTCTGGCTGCAAAGCGCTCCTGTCCTGTCTAAACTTCTTTCTCTCTTGCAATATAAGCCTCCTTATTGTTGTGTTTCCAACCCGCACGGATAACCCGCGACGCCCGCGCAATGAATATCCTAATCTATCCGTATTTATCCACATTAGAAAATGCAATCTCTGATAAAAATTAATCCTATAATTAGTTTCACCCTAACAACACATAGCAACCGGTGTGCTTTAATGTAGCTTAAATTTATTAACCTTATCCGAGTTTTAGTTCTTTAAAAACCTAGCACTAAAATATAGAAATCGCTTGACAATTATATATCATGACCTTTAACTTATATGTGTTTATATAACTCAAGATAGCAATAAATGTATTTTAAAACTGAAACCTTGTGCAAACTTTTGCCTGCAAAGCCCGCTTTTCCGCCCGCGCAAACCACCCGCCTGATTAGTGTACAAATATGTTGTACGTTAATATATGCATGCACCCAAGCGTCGCTAATGACTTAGCAACACATAACAACGTATGTAACGACTACATGTTTTTATCGCAAAATATATCACAACTGTTCTAATTCTAACTTATATTCTTCATAAGCTTACTTATGATCTGACTCGGTCATCTTAACAGTATATATGTATGTAGCAGATTTACTAAATAACGTTGAACAACATGCAAATATTGACCTTAACAACGACGTTGACAACCCGGGATTAGCAACTGTTTAGTTCTGTTTAAAATATGTCTTGATTTTTGTGACGAATAAATTCCTCGCTATAGTTTTGTACACATACGAAAAATCCTTCAATACACTCGTGGAAATTTATCTCTTCCGAGCAAAGGTACCGCTATAACTCTGCTATATATTAATAATATTGACCTTAACAACGACGATGACGACCCGGGATTAGCAACTGTTTAGGTCTGTTTGAAATATGTCTTGATTTTTTGTGACGAATAGCTAGATTCCTCGTTATAATTTTGTAAACATACGAAAAATCCTTCAATATACTAGCTCGTGGAAATTTATCGCTTCCGAGCAAAGATACGGCTATAACTCTGCTATATATTAATAATATTGACCTTAACAACGACGTTGACGACCCGGAATTAGCAACTGTTTAGTTCTGTTTAAAATATGTCTTGATTTTTGTGACGAATAGATTCCTCGCTATAATTTTGTAAACATACGAAAAATCCTTCAATATACTCGTGGAAATTTATCGCTTACGGCTATAACTCTGTTATATATTAATTTCGATCACAATTTTGCAATGTGAGGGACTCGAACCAATCATAGCAAACCAATATTAATCCCTCTATTGTATCATACACGTGGGGAGGACGCTAAGAAATGCGTAGTCAGCAAGTTTCACCTGATCGTGTTTAAGCTCGCCCGCGTGACGTCATTGCATATAATTATGACGTATGATAATGATGAGTGACGTCACTACTCACCCTCATTTGTACGAGTATTAATTAGCGCACCCTCAGCACCCTTACGCACCGTCATTTGTATAAATATTAATTAGCGCACCCTCAGCACCCTTACGCACCCTCATTTGTATGAATATTAATTAGTGCACCCTCAGCACCCTTACGCACCCTCATTTGTATGAATATTAATTAGCGCACCCTCAGCACCCTTACGCAACCTCAAATATAAGGCCCGATCGGCCTCTATATTACTACTCTGGTTCAACACCCCGTTCAGTAAATCCGTTAAAACCAATATCGCGCGGAATTTCCTTCAACTTCTCGATAAACACTTCCCACCGACAAGTCGTTTGCACAAAATATTCAACCGCAACACAGTTAAAGTTAGCTACAGCTGCATGCCTAATGTAAAGAGCGTTATATCTGGCCACAACAACCGCATTTTGTCAAAACCCACAACTACTCCACCAATCTCAGATAATTGCAACTGTAATAACCCGAGTGAATGCCCTATTAAGAAGAACTGTACATCTAAAAACATTATTTACAAGGCCCAAGTTACATCACCCTACGACGGAGTCACAAAGGAGTATATTGGAATGACGGCGAATGCGTTCAAGGAAAGATATGCAAATCATAAAAAATCCTTTAAATTTCACAGATACAAAAACGATACAGAACTGTCAATGTACATCTGGGAGCTAAGGAATAATGACAGAGATTACATCCTATAATGGTCAATTCTGAAGCGGGCAGGCGCATACTCATCCGGTGCAAAGCGTTGCAATCTCTGCACGGAAGAAAAACTCTGCATAATGGATGCAGACAAGCATATAACATTAAACAAAAGACCCGAGATATTCGCGAAATGCAGCCATCGCGAGAAATTGGGGGGGGGGGGATTTTGAACGCGCGCGCGAATAATGACGGTGCACGTCAGCAAACTATAGATCACGACATTATAACGAACTGAATTAGTTAATCGCCTGATGATTGTCACAAATAGTGACATGAAACTTAAAGTAGCGAGAAATTGAAACATTTTAAGATAACAAATCAATTATATATATATATTAGCCTGCGAGCAGGCTCTCTTGGGGAAAGAGAGCCTGCAAGGATCCCTATGATGTTCGTGTGCATGCGTCCAATATTTGGACGCAGAGCTCTGATTGGTTGATCATGAAAAATTACGTAATTGAAATATCAATCAAATATATAGTAAACCAAGATGGCGGAAATAGAAATTCAAATGAATTGATCGAAGAAGCTTGTAGAAAATTGTCAGAGAAACTAAACTTCCCGTTCAAATTAAAAACCGAGCAACGCAATGCATTGGAGTCACTGCTTAACGGGAATGATGTTCTCGCTGTTTTACCAACGGGATGCGGCAAAAGTCTGATATTTCAGTTGTATATTTTGGTAGTCCAAATTGAAAGGATCAAAAGAACTGCTTTAGTTGTTTGCCCTTTACGAAGTATCATTGACGATCAAATTGTCGAGGCAAGAGGTTGTGGTATTTCCGTTGCATCGCTAGCTGATCGGTCCGAAGTCGAGTTAAAAGCAAGTGAATTCGAACTTCTATTTGGTTCAGCTGAGACAGTTTTGGATAAACGATTCCTGGATATTTTAAAGGACCCTGACGCATCGTTAAACCGCATTTTGTCTGTAATTGTCATTGACGAATCTCACACGGTGGAAATGTGGACAGGACAAAGGTGTCGTTCTCGTATTATGATACATTTATTATAATTATCAGTTTAATTAATACCTAAAAAAATAAAAAATTGACAACCTTTGCTTATGTTATGTATTAATGTAAATATAGATTTGTGTTATTATATTTGTGATTTTATGTATTTATAGGTCAAGAGGAAAAAATCTCAGCACCTCTGGTGGTGGCTTTCGTGAAGCATTTGGGCAGTTGTACTGTCTACCTTACGGTCGTTTTGTAAGCAAGGCGAGATCCGATATATTACATTGTATATATTATACTGTGTATAAAAGATACATGATGTATGTTTATACTATGAGTGTGTCAACACCGGGCAAGCTGAAAAGTTTGCTTGACTGCGGTGGGAATTGAACCCACAACCTTTGGTCAATGACCAACCTCGTAGCTCAGTTGGTACAGCATTGGACTAGCAAAACCCCAAGATTTTCAGGGAAGAGTTTGAGAACCCCTGCAAACTCTTTGTAGTTTTCATCAGTTCAATTTTCAACTGGCCCAAACTCTCTAAATGTCATTGTTTTCAATACCTATTTGGTCATTTGTTCCCTTGACTGCCTCTTGTATTTTTGGCCTCCAATATCTCGTATGTACTAGTTTACCAATATAATTTACTTTTTTCAGGAACACATGTACTTCCAATAACAGGCACTGCAGATAATGAAACACAAAAGGTGATAATCAAAGGACTGAGCCTAAAACAGACCAAACGGTTTTATGTGAGCCCAAATCGCCCAAACCTTAGAATTTCTGTGATCAAATGCAAAAAGCAGGAAATGTTTACAAACTTGGAATGGCTAATCAGGTTGGTGAAGGAACAAGCAACTGCTACACCAAAATCTATTATATTTTGTAATGGTTCGCTGACTGATATTGCTGCCGTGTTCAACCATATGTTACTACAGTCGGGAAGTTATGCATATTTCCCACAAGACAGCCAAACTTCACCAAACTGTCTTGTAGAAATTTATCATTATTTGACTATGCAAAGGTATAAAGACAGGATCACAAACTCTTTTAAGGGCAATGGAAAAAAGAGAATTATTATTGCAAGTTCAGCACTTAGCATGGGAGTAAATTTCCCAGACGTGCGATATGTTATTCATTGGGGATCATCACGTAACATGTTGGACTATCATCAACAGTCTGGCCGGGGAGGGAGAGACAACAAACCCTCCCAAGCGCTGACCATTTATTATGGACAACAGATAAGTTTCTGTGAGGAGAATGTCAAAGCATTTCTGCGTACAACCAGCTGTTACAGAATATATTGAAGCTTATAAGCCTTTTGACAGAAATATTACACCAGTCAAACCTATTCATGCATGTTGTAGGAATTGTGCAAAACATGCAAATGCTCAGATGGGGAAAATGAGTGTTCAGAAACGGTACCTGTGTTTGAAGTGGAAAAAAATTATGATGTTTTGCCACCAACTACACGTCTTTCCCGACCAATCTCTTCATCTGATAAAGAGGACCTACATGACGGACTACATGAAATGGTTCAGGTAATTCCTTCCAACAATGAGGTTATTGAATGAGAACATGTCAGATGGTTATGTTGATGAATTAATAGTTGACATTGTGGATAATGCCCACACTATATTTGCCATAGTGGATGTTATAAAATACTTGCCAGTATTTGCTTTTCAACATGCTATCAAAATCCTAGAAATAATCCATGATATATTTGAAGATATGCCGAACCTCGATATAATGGTTGAAATGTTTGGCAGAAATGAACCAACTTTATATGACATACCCCAGCCTGTAGAATACACATTTGACGATATTGACTCAGATGACCAAATGGAAACTGAATGTGACTTTGAATAAATGTCATGAGTAAGTACAGGTATTGTATTATATTTAACCAATTAAAACATTTTCCATGTTGACATAATTCATTACATTACATTATTATTCAGCTCACTTCCCATTGGGGCTTTTCAGTGACCGATTCCATCAAGTAATGTATGACGCTCATGTTACCGATAGTTACTATAGCCTAGAGTATTTATCTTTACAACAATTGAGATATTACTTTCCTAACTGTGTTTATCCTAACCCACCCTGTCAACTTTCCCTGTGGGAGGAAACCCGAGCGCCCCTCTCTCCTCCGCTGAGTATTTACAAATAACTTACATGAAGTTTCCTGAATAAAAGTGAGTGCGCGCGATGTGATGGTATTTAGCTCTTCCCATCACTCCTTGCGCGCTCACTTTTCCCTCACTAGAAACTTCATGTAAGCCTCTGCAGAGGAGAGAGGGAGCGCCCAGAGAAAACCCACAACTTTCGGCAGAGCGTTGACTGACTCTTTTCACATGAGTCCGGAGCGAGAATCAAACCCACAATCTCAGAGGTGAAAGGCGCTTGCTCTGACTACTGCGAATTGAGAAAGTGGGAATTGGGAAAACAAGAATTGTTTGGAAACACAACACCTGAAGGGTGGAGTGTTTTCACACAATTTTGAATTTTCCCAATTTCCACGAGTCTTGATATAACTGTATACCATTACGGAAAAATGTTTTATAATTTTTTATAATACAGCACAAAGAAATATAATGAAAGAAATTTTATGTGTTGATATTGAGTTATATCAACACAGCTCTTAGCCAATCAGCGTTCAGAATTTACAAATGTTATATTATAAACTTTTGTAAACTATGTAAATTTTTGTCATTTACTCTTTCTTGAATATAGATTGCCACAGTTTCTTTTTCTTAGACATCCATTCATGTAGATTTCTGTAATCTAAATTTACAATCCTGTTTTGAAAGTCAGGAAATCATGCATGGCCATGTCTACCCGGGGTGAATTTGGACGCTTTGATTGATGACAAATCAAATGTGATTTGCATCACTGATTCTGTATTATTGCCACTGGATTTATATCCTTTACGCTCTTGTAAATTATATTCTTTGTCAATAGACTCAATTAGTCTCTCCAGATTCTCTAGTGCTTCAGCTACCCGTGATGCGCTTGCTTTATTTAAATTTGACCCCAGTGCCCTCCAGATGGTTTTCAGAACTTTGTTCTGTTGTTCCTTTTTTAGGTCTAATGAGATCTTTCCACCTAGACGACGATATTTGTTATAGAATCTGTTCCACATGATTTTATGAGCTTCAAATTCAGAATAGATAGCTGCAATTTGAACAAGGTAAAGAAGCACAACATATGAATATTTAGTATGACCCCCAGATTTGTACAGTAGCAATGCCAACTTGTAAATATCATGCAGCCTTTGGCCATCAACCTGTAGTACAGCATCATTGAAATAAAATAGAATCATACCAAACTCAAGCTTTGCACAGTGGTAGTTGTACAGGTGGTCATTGATAATGGGGTCCTGAGTTTCATTTACAGAAGTGTCTTCTTCAGGAGTAAATTGTAGATGATTTTTTTTCTCCTGCCTAAAATAGCAAAATTATAGTTCAGTCATTTATAACATCATACACATATGCAGTCAAATTCTATCAGAAAAACAAAATATTGACATCCTCATGAATTGCCTTAATCCGAAATCTAGGTAGTTGAGAAAACCCAACTACATGTAGGTGTCATTGCAATAGGTCGGTTCAGAAAAGATCCACAATCCCCCACGGAGTGAGGGGAGAAAATTCATATCTAATAATAGTAAATGTCATGTTTTCAATCGCTACTCCGGTTTAATTAAATGAATGCAAAGCCCAGTCAAATCAATTAGGACATTATAAGGGGGTTAATCTCAAATTTCCTCTGTGGGAGAGACCTGTATGGATGTTTTCTGTACTGGCCCAATAACATAATGCGGGATATGTATTTATTTTTTTTGCAAAATTACCTGTTCCTTGTCGCTTTAGTACTAAAGACAATCAGCACGGCAAAAATAGTATCCATACTCATCCCTAATCTGTCCATTTCGATCATTGTTCATTTCATGTGCACTGATCTCATGACTAAAATTGACATAAATATTTTAAAAATTGTTTGTTTTCATTCATTATCATGGATAGTATTATTAGTAATATTTATTATTTACTTGCAATTGCAGATGACTTAAGTGATGTATAAAAGATACAGATTAATATGGCTGAGAGTGGATCAAAGGCATATAAAATGCACATCTGTCAAAGCATGGCTACAATATTGGCTGGAAATAACTGGAAATACGTCAACTGACTTACAGTAGTGTTGTATCGAATCCATAACATATAGAATCTCAGCCGGGACAAGTAGAGCTTCTCTACTTGGCTGATATGGTTTCAATTGGAGTAGTACCTAAATAGTGTAGGATGTTTTCTATTTCTTAAAGTAGAAGTCAAGTCCGTTCTGCGCATCGGTTCTGTTCATAACAATGTGAGGGCCTCTATTTAATGTGAACATTGCCCTAATTTCGAATGTTTCGAATTTTTCTGAACATAAACTCTATTTATATTCATTTAGAAGCATAGCGAACCAAAATGGTGTTAGATACTCAGACAGTACATCATATTTTAAAAAATACATCAGTTCAAAATGTAAACAAACCGTTTGTTTACATATGAACTTGACTTCCACTTTACATATTAGTAACCTTACTCTTCCTGAGTGATAAACAAATGCTTTATCACATTTTTCAACTCTGCATTTGTATTTCCCAAGAGATGCAAGTTCCAACTGGTTTGTCTGCTGTATCAAGTTATCAAGATCTTCAGAGTCAAAACAATATCTGTCTATGAAGGATTCACACAGACTGAGCAACCACTCTCCTTTTGTTTGCTTGTTGGTTAAGTTACTTGGTAAATTTATAGTCTTAGGAGTCCCTTAAAATAAAATAATGGTGAAAATAAAACATTGTACTGTTCTCTAAAATGTTTTCAACATATCTTGATACGGTTTGATAATCATACTTATAAATTTTGGTAATTATAATATAATTATATAAGCAGTAATGTGCCCTACAGTGCATTATTCTTTTATTTAGTCTAACACCGCTTACTGTGGGAGAGAGGTTTTACTTGTCAATGAAAGACCATTGCTCATTATGAGACTAATTATTACTGTAACCCTTTAAGTGGCCATGTCCCTTCATGCTCCTTACTTTATTTTTTTACAATGTCTAATGCCAGAAGATTTTTCTCATCAAGGACAAGGGAAGAGTGCTGCCACTCAATGGGTTAATCACACTACATGTATTAGTGTCTTTATAGCATTATTTAATTTACCATTTGTATCTTCCATCCCAGTTATTTCCATAAAGGCAGAACAAATATGAGCCTCTAACTCACACTGATGGAACTCTTTGTATTCATTGTATTTCTTCTTTGGTCCAGCCGATGCATTTGTTTTTCGAGTTCTATTCATGCTTGCCTTAGTTGTGCCAAGCTCATTCCCAGAATCAGATTTGCAAAACATGTTAAATTCCATCTGCAAATAGTAGTAAATTAGCAATTAATTTAATCAACATGTTGCTTAATCAGGGCGCATGCAGCGCATTCCCCCCTTGCCAATCTCAGGGCACATTCAGACGCATTGCCACTTAATGAGTTAAAACTTATAATGCTTATCAAATAATTAAGTAGCCGCTGCAATGCCCCATACCGAATTACAGTACCTTACTCTAATGCCAAACAAATTTCTCATCAAGGGGAAAGTGTTAGTGGATAAATAAATTTTAAAGATTTGAATAGATTGATGCAGGAAAGACAAAAATAATTTTAAAAACAAACCTCGTAGAAGTTCACTTTTCTATGCCAGTCAGCAAACTCGGGATTAAGCCCCTTGATACTGTCAAATTCATTGTAACCATCCTGAAATGTCCATATAACATTCCTGCCTCGCTCTTCAAATAATTGGTCTCCATGGAAAGGAATGGGTGTGATAACTTTTTTTGACTCGCCATTTCCACAAGAGGGAACATACTTGTTTTGATTTTTTATTAACAGTTGTGCCATCTCTCCTGCAATGTTTGGATTATAATATTCCATCCCAAGACAACACTATAATATTTAAGAGAAATATATATTTGTAAGAATACATGAAAGCACAAAATTTTATCCCTAATACAAGTGCTTGCCCAAGTATATAAGCCTTGGGTGCATTGGAAATATTACACCTTGCAGTCTGACTGTACGTGATCATGTGATCTCTCATAATTTGCACACTTTATACTATTAAATGACTACCCTTGTCAGCACTGAAAAAATAAAAACTTCTGCACATACATATCAGTTCCTTTCCCTTATGCATTTATTTATTAAAACTCACAATTTCTGACTTTGTTGAAGCCTCTTTAGAGTATCGATGAGGTATGTGGTTAATTACAACATTTCTCAGGAACGCAAAATCATTGAGGTGCTTGGTTACTACACGGCTGACAAGAATTTCCCATGAATGTTTTAGTCGAGACTGGACGGTATCAGTTGGCAAAATATCTAGTAGCTGGAGCTGATCAAGACTTTGTTGAGGCTTTGTATTGTCCAGACAATTTGTTTTGTTTGAATCCGAGCTTTAATTTCGTGGTCAATGTTATCACCAACTAATCTATGAACAATAAATGTAAATCAATGTGTGAATAAAAAAATTTGAACCAAACATATCATGTGGTTTCTCCTCAAGAGAGCTTTTGTTAGAAAGCACTTTGGAATCAAAGTTTTTTCCTAACTGTCGCTGAAAACTTATAACCATATCTGGGGACATGCCAATACCTAATCGGTTCAATCTGGTCATATCTTGATAAGAAACTCCACTGTGAAACAAAATGCTGGACACTCTGTATGTCAGAGCAGACATAGACTTGTTACGAACTCGAGCTATCGCAGAAGTGGCGAGAGCAACAGAATTGATGGCATTCGTATTCTCATACTCGTGCATTTGTTGCAGCTGAACACTACACGCTCCACTTACGCACGAACTCCAAAAGGGGCATCTTTCAGTAATTTCCTTAATAATTGTACTGTTCGAAAACGCAATTAATTCTTCAGTTGAACGACGCTTCAAAATTGTGTCAGATTTACAGTACTGTTTGAAATCATTGTTAGTAGCGGACCGCACAGATTTTAGGATTTCTGGTTTTAATTCCCGGTGCGCGAGGACAATGTGGGACACTGCTTTCCAATCCTTTAAAACTATGTTCTTCACAAGCCGAATAGTGTCGTTCTCATCGCTAGATGGTACTTTAACATCGGTTCTTCCATTATGCCACAATATAAACACCTTTACTCGGGTTTGCTTTTGTACTTTCACTTCGTCGTCATGACAAATAATATCATCAATATTGAGAAGCGAATCTTCATTATGATCCTTGTTGATAGTGTCATCAAACTGCTTGCCAAGCGATCTCTTCAGTCTGATCCTTCTTGTTTTTGGGTCTTTTTTGATATAGGACTTCGCTCTGGAGTAGAAACAGTCGTTGGCAGAGTTCTTTTCGTGCGTGACGTATTTATAGTATCATGAACCCCTGTGGCTGTATATATATATATATATGTATCTATATATTAAGATGAAAATGTGTATTATTTAATTTCCATACACAACGCAAGCAGAAAGATGTTGTCTGCCGCGGCTGGGTGTTGAGCCCGCGATCTTCGAATTACTAGATCGACGCTCTACCAACTGAGCTACACGATCAGACGGATTTAAGACTGGAAATTATGAAATATATACTGAATGTCATAAACATACTCGTTTATATTAATTCAGTATCGAACAATACTAGTTCTGCAAGTGTTATGTTAAGTTGTGTTATTGTACACTCCGTAATATGTTAAGATGAAAATGCTCAGTCTAGAGTGTGTATTATATAATTTTCATACCCAGCGCAAGCCGAAAGATGTTGTCTGCCGCGAGCGCGATCTTCGAATTACTAGATCGGCGCTCTACCAACTGAGCTACACGGTCAGACGGATTTAAGACTGGAAATTATGAAATATATACTGAATGTCATAAACATACTCGTTTATATTAATTCAGCATCGAACAATAGTAGTTCTGCAAGTGTTATGTTAAGTTGTGTTATTGTACACTCCGTAACATGTTAAGATGAAAATGTTCTAGAGTGTGTATTATATAATTTCCATACCCAGCGCAAGCAGAAAGATGTTGTCGGCCGCGACTGGGTGTTGAACCCGCGATCTTTGAAATACTAGATCGACGCTCTACCAACTGAGCTACACGGTCAGACGGATTTAAGACTGGGAATTATGAAATATATACTGAATGTCATAAACATACTCGTTTATATTAATTCAGCATCGAACAATACTATTCATATATATATATATATATATATATATATATATATATATATATATATATATATATATATATATATATATATATAT